CGCTCTTCCAGAGCAGGACTGTGCTCAACTGACCACCCTGCTGCTGTACCAATTCTGTCGTGTACAGGTGGTTAATTAGGACAACAAGCCAAACTGAAAGTCACAATCAAGACTTTATTCACTTACTACGACAGTGCAAGCCAAGAGGCAGAAAAAACAGGTGCCAGCTCCTCAGTGTTCCATTTTTCTGAGTGGAACTGGAAGAGGCGAGGCGGCAGGCGAATGCAGCACAGTCGGAGAAATTCACCTCACTGTTGAGCAGCCCTGAACCAAAGGCTCCTGCCTCTCTCAGGACCCACGGGCAGAGGGAGGGAGAAGGGAAAGGACAGGAGTGGAAGGGTACTGAGTCCAAGTGGAGAAAAGTGCCTCAGCCACACCCTTCAATAAGGAGTTTCCCAGAGGAGGTTTTCCTAAGAAATGCCTTAGGTGAGGCCCCCAACAAGGAGGCCTTCACAAGAGGCAACTGGGCTAAGAATGAAGACACGCACATGAGCACGGCTGCCCTGGGGGCCTGAGTCTATGACTACACTCCCTCCAGAGACTGCAGTGCACTGGCTGTGCCCCAAGTCTGGTGTGGGGAGGGCAGCTTCCCGCTGGAGGCCTGCCAGAAAAAGCCTTGTAATCGCCTATGGTCAGGCCTGAAAGATCAATCACGCACAGGATTTTGGTCTGAAGCAGCGCTCCTCACCTACCGTAAGCAAGGCCTTGTGATTAATGCTGTGTTACTGTGTGGTTACCAAATTCCAGCCCCCACTCAGTAGTGACTAAGGCCAAAAGACTGAACAAATGTACAGGTAAAATGGTAAGACAGAAGGGATTGCCAATTTTTTATTCTTACAACTGTTCATAAAACTCTTGAGCACAATCCCATTTCATACATATATAGCACTTAGGGCAACTCCTGGAACAAAACTGGTGCTACATCAGCATTGGTCATTACTGTCTCTGTTATTAAAAGATTACATTCACACTTTGTAGTACATTCGAAACTAATATAATATTGTAAATCAACTATACTTAAAAAAAAAATCTACCTCCATACAGAATTAGCGAATTAGGCAGTGTAGATTAAGTGCTCAATAAAACAAGTGTTATTTAAAAAAATATTACATTCATACAAATATTCAGATAACATCACAGTTGGAAGAAGTGAAGATACTATTTTAAAAAATATATACTCACGATTCATCTAAATCTTCTACATATCCTTTACAGAAAGCCACATCAAGTAAAAAAACTGAAAAAAAAGACAAAATGTATACAGTGTAATAAATGCTGATTTCTCTTTTGGCTTATATGCTTATTCACCTATAAAATGTTTTTGGTTTTTTACAGCCTACCAAAAAACTCATCATTCATCCATCCCAGGGCACAAATGATGCAAAAGCATAAGTACTGTAGTTCACCTGTTTAATAAATATTTACGACCGTATGGTGACAGCAAGTTCTATGTAGGCTAGTAAATCTGAGACACCGAATTTCTCTTTAAATATACGTTTATTTTCATCCTATTTTTTTCCTTTTTACCATTCCATCTTTTTGGAGTAGAGATGAAAATTGTTCTTCTATATTTCTTTTCCTCTAGTAACAATTATCTTCTCAGTATAAAGTTCAAACGCCATTCAAAATACCGTTCCCCCCGCCCCCAAATTGATAGAAACAAAATTGAGCTACGCTCCTAATACTAATTACAGAACAGTGCCTGGCACGTAGAGGGAACTAAACGGCTGCTGTGTAAGTGGACACACTGAAGTGAGAACCAGGGTACCCGATGCCGGCCGGAGAATGAGAAAGGCCAACACGCCCGCAGGTCACTTCTCACATGGCACAGCCCCAGAGGCCCGACCAGGACCCGTCCTTGAACCTCCCTCCCTTGGCCCCCGCGTGGGTAAAGATTCTTCAGATGTGACAAGACTCAGAACCTAAAGGCAAAGCAGGTTTGGCCACCAGCTGGTAAGGCAGCATCCTTGACACCCATCGACGGAATCAGCGGTCCTGAAACTTCCTGCCGCACGGAGAACGGAAGCAAACGGAAGGCGCGGATGCCCAGCGAAGCGGCGCCGGGGAAGGACCCTAAGGCGTCCGCTCAGTCTCGCGACCCAGGACCCGGAGGGCATCTCGGCGGCCCCGCAGGCCTCTCCCCACCCCGGGCCAAGACCCTACCAGGTCCCCGCACCCGATCCCAAGGCCACCTCGGCGGCCCCGCAGGCCTCTCCCCACCCCGGGCCAAGACCCTACCAGGTCCCCGCACCCGATCCCATCAGGGGAGAGTCCCCGCGCCCGCCCGCATCGCCCCGGGCGGCCTTTACCTGTGGCACAGAGCCGCAGGGCGGCCCCGCGTCTCCGAGCTGCCATGCTCGCCGCAGAGGAGCTGCAAGAGCCGACTCTGCGGAGCGGAGAGAAAGAGACACCGGCGGCCGCCGCCTGCCCTGCCGGAAAGGGAAGCCGGCCGGCCTGGGCGCGGAAGAGAAGCTCGGCGGGGGCGGGGCAGGCCGGCCTCCGCTACCCTCCCAGGACACCTCCGACCTCCGCCTCTGAGCATGCGCTGAACTACGGCGCCTGCGCGGAACTGGGACGCCTGCGCGGTCGCATCTTCAAAGCTGCTCCGGGGACCGCCTCGGGGATCGTGGGAACCTAGTGTAGGGGCGCTTTCCTGTGGGGGCGGAGTGTTGCGTGGGTGTGCGTGGGGGTCGGGGGCGTTTCCGGGAAGTTAAACGCCTGCTAGACTTTGAGCGGAAGCTGAGGGTGACTGGCAACGCTTGAGCCTGAATCCTGCCGGCTCTTTCACCTGCTGCTCTAGAGCAGCTAGCAATCAACTTCGTGAAAAGAGGTGGGTGTTAGCAGTGGGTAGGAAGATGGAAGGCTCTGGGTGCTGCGTGACCTTACATATGTCTCCAGAATGAATTTGGAATTTTCTTTGGCCCTGTTTGCAAAATGCGAGGTCTGTCTCATTTTGCTTCATGAATGCGTTTTTGCCAAGAGTCCCCTTTAAAAAAAGTGTTTCTCTTGAAGCCTGAAAACATGAAGTTGATCATGGGATATTTTTTTGTTTTTGATGATTTGTTCCAGTTTCCTGATTTTTGAAATAAGTAAAATACTTACCATAAAATATATTGCTATCTGTTTTTCTGCGTAACAAAAGTAATTTATAAAAGACGTCTAGTTTTATATGGTAGTGACTGCTGCGGGAACTACATCTGACTTAACATGAAACTTTTATAGGAGGAGAAATACCAGAGGATTTAGATTAAGTCAGTTATTGAACGTGTGTTATGAGAACAGAAATGGATTATGATGTCAGCCCATTCACCGTAGGTTCAAAATTCCATCAGACAGAAAGCTCATAAAACACTGCTATTCCTAATGACTAGAAGATTAAGTTATAATCTGATTGAGAGCAAACCCTAGGTTTCATCCCTTTTATGCATACAGCATAGTAGCCAGTGCAGGCATTCAACAGATTCAAATACGTATATTTTTTAATTGAGCATCTAGTTTATTTACATATGTAAATATTTAATCCTCACAAAAGTTCTCAAAGAAATAGTGTAAATGAGGACCAAGGGGCTCAGAAGCTAATTTGGTTAACTACCCAGGACTTGCCATTTAAAACAAAGTCCCAGACTCCAGAGCTGGAAATTTTTCTGTAACAGGACATTACCTCTCAGGATTTCTTTCTGCCCTGGAATTTTCTCCCTCTCTCTTTTTTTTTTTTTTTTTTTTTTTTTTTTTTTTTTTTTTTTTTTTTTTTTTTGTTTGTTTTTTTTTTTTTTCTTGCGTTATGCGGGCCTCTCACTGTTGTGGCCTCTCCCATTTGCGGAGCACAGGCTCCGGACGCGCAGGCCCAGCGGCCATGGCTCACGGGCCCAGCCGCTCCGCGGCACGTGGGATCCTCCCGAAACGGGGACCGAACCCGCGTCTCCTGCAACGGCAGGCGGACTCTCAAGCACTGCGCCACCAGGGAAGCCCTCCCTCTCTCTTGCTTGTCTTCTTTTTCAGTCATCCTATTTTAGCTAATGGTACAACTGTTTGACCAATTTCCCTGGAAGTTATGCTAGGTATTTCCCTACTTAATATTTTCCATATTCAACTGCTCACCACATCTTGTTACTTTTATTGCCTAAATATCTCTTCAATCTGTCCCCATTTTCTTCATCTCCGTATGCCCAGGTCAGGGTCTCATCTTCTCTTGCTTGGATAACTGAAATAGCCTCCTAATTGGGCTCCTAGCCTCTAGTTTCCCCTCTTAAGGCACTCTGTGTGTCACTTCCTAAATGGATGTTTCAGAAATACAATTCAGAACTTTAATATAAAATCAGATTACTTTAAACTTTAACACTGCTCGCTGGGATACAGAATAAAATCATAGCTCTGTACCATGTGCTAGTACTTTCATTATCTGTCGTTTCCTCTTATTTCTCGCGCATTAGTCCCGTCCTCCACTAACTATGCAGCGCTCGCAACAGTTCCCTACTGAACCAGCCTTGCTGTTCTCATCCCTTGCACCTTGTATAAAATAATCTTCGTTAGTTAGATTGAATCTTATTACCATCAGCGTGTTTGCTATTTTAGCAAAAATGTCCTATGTTGCACTCTCTTTAAAAGGCTTTACTTTTTTTTTTTTTAAAGCAGTTTTAGATTCACAGCATAATTGAGAGGAAAGTACAAAGGTATCCCCCCAAAAGAAGTAGACTAAAAAATTCTCATTCTCATCTGTTTCAAAATTCTGTCTTCCACAGTGTGTAAAAGGAAATATATTTTTTTAGAATTTTCATCACAGCTTAAATTAGCAGGTGGAGCACAACAAAACCACTCGACCCAGGCCTGTGCTTCCCAATAGCATAACCACTAGCCACATGTGGCTATTGAGCTCTTGAAATATGGCTAGTGTGATGCAGTTACTGAATACTAGTTTTATTTAATTTCGATAAACTTAAATTTTAAATTGATACTTGATTCAGTTACTGGAAAATGTGTAAGTATGGCTGGAAAAACCTAAAATTACACTGGACTTTGAAGACAGTAAAAAAAGAATGTAATGTTTCTCATTATCTTGATTATGTCGAAATTATAATATTTTAGGTATGAGATCATAAAATGTATTAAACTTAATTTAACCTGTTTCTTTTTATTTTTCAATGAGACTACTAGAAAATTTTAAACTACATATGTGGCTTGCATTGTATTTCCATCGCACACTGCTGACCTAGACAACTTGAAAATAATCAGAATAGAGCATTGATCTGAAAATGGTCAAAACAAAACAAACTTTTTAAAGGTTTTTGTATAGAAAACAGGCTAAATTTACAAATGCTAAAACTTGTGTTTAGTAAGTTCATAGTACAATATGGAATACATTTTTAATTAAAAATGTGTGTTTTTCCTGATTATCTGTCTCCAGTGGTGATGAATTTCCTTGACATTTAGAAGGTTCTGTATTAAATATGACATGTTTTTAGCAACCCTTTCAAATGAACTACATATTATACATATATATGCCTTGTGTGTTATACATACACATCCTAACCAAAAGACACGTACAAGGATGTCTATAGCAGGTCTATTTGTAATTGTAAAAAACTGAACAACTCAAATGTTTAATAGCAGAATGGATACTATAGCAATGTGCTGTGTAGCAATAGAGAATGAATTAACTTTTGTGGAGGGAACTCTATTGATGCATCTCATGAACAAAATGTTGAGCAAAAGTGAGAAACCAAAGAAAGGTACTCACTACATGATATGATTTGAGCTTAAAGCTCAAAAAACAGCAAATTAATCAAGAGTGTTAAAAGTCAGGGGTACAGCTAATGTTTTGTTTCTTGATCTGTGTGCTGTTACACAGATGTGTTTACTTTGTGAAAATGCATTGAGCTCTGCCCTTATGGTTCATGTACTTTTCTGTATATAGACTCTAACAATAAAAGTTTAAAAATAAGAATAAAACTATATTTTTTAAATGGAAAGATCATTGTACAGCATTAAAGCAATGCTTCTCATATGTACTAAGCATCAGCTACCTGGAGAGCCTGATCAAACACAGTTTCCAACCACTCCTTACAGAATCTGAGTCAGTAGTTCCGAATTTATATTTCTCACAAGTTCCTGGGTGATGCTGTTGCTTCTGGTCTGCAGATCTCATTTACTGGTGTTGAGGGAAAATAAATTCAGAAAATACTATTAATTTTTAGATTGATTTGTGTAACATATATGAGGAAAAAAACTAGAAAAAATTACATTTTATAGTTGTTGTTTCTTGATGTTGTTTAATGGTTTTATTGTTAATTTTAAATGACAATTTTTAAAAGTTTTATTTTTAAATGTCTCAGTTTTAACTTCTAATATGGGAAATGCTGTTAGATACAACCCACATTTTAAAAAAAAATGTCTTTGGAGTCCTCGGTATATTTTTAAGAATATATAGAGGTCCTGAGACCAAAAGTTTGAAAACAGAGTAGACATTTATAGAACTCTACATTCAACAAGCAGGGAATGTATACACATGGAAAAAGTAAGAGAAAATCATATACCTAGTGTATCATAAAGTAAGTTCCAACAGATTGAAAAAAATTTGTTATTACGAATATATTCTTTGACCACAACACAATTAGTTTATAAATCTATAACAAAAGAAAATATTACCCAAATCTAGAAATTTAAAAACACAAATAACATGTTTGAAAATGATAGGAACTAAAATATACTTAGAACTAAACAAGAAAGGAAAATATGCTTATTAAAATTGTAGGATGCAGGAAAATCTGTACATTTAGAGAAATTTATAGACGTAAATGTTCTTTTATTTTAGAATGAAAATGAAAATGTTCTTTTAGTGAAATAAATATTCTCTTTAAGAAGTGGGAGAAATAACAGAAAAAGAAGGCTCAAAAGATAAAAGACATTCATTTTATTTTATTGTGCTAGGAACTGTTCTATGGGCTGAGAACATAGCATTGAATGAAGTGGACTCTAGTGAAGTTTATTTCCTAGTGGGTTATCAGAGTTATCACGTATGGTGCATATATAGTCAGGCTGTGTTCTAAATGCTTTAAACCTTAACTCATTTAGAGAGATAGGGAAAAAAGATACAGTAGAGAGACTCAAAGAAGTCCTAAAGTGTGTTTTTTGAAGCAATCGATAAAATGGGTACATTTCTTGTTATAGTGAATCCAGAAATAGAGAAGACATGAAAGAGGATGAAGAAATGAAAATACATCTAAAGCATTCAGAAATCACCAGGATACAGGCTGAATCATACTTCAGGCCCAGGGAAGTGGAAGTCATTTTAATCTTGGACCAGTTAAAGTAAGACAGCTCCTTCCTTCATCCCATTCTTAGTCCCTACATACCAAGTCTTGAAGAGTCAAGGCCCAGTTAGCTAGCTTGGAAAGGCAAAAAGAGAGAAGGTAAATCAAGACCCTCTATCCCACTGCAAGTTTCCAGCCTACAACAGTCTCTTGGAGGGGAAGGAGA